CAGCGTGGATCCTGGATCTTGAGGCTTGGGCCCGCCTTGAAAGCAGCATAGCAAATTGTTCTAGCTTTGTCTAGTTAAAATCCAGCCGTTTCGCCCTGTACAGCTCATGCTTGGGTTCTTTTGGTTTGTTGTTTCACCGGAGCGAGTGCTTCGTGCTATCTTGGGGCCCACCCATGCAAAACCAAGTTTAAGCACAAAGTGAAAGCAGCAGACGTGGATTTTAGCAGGCTTGGACTCGAAGTGAAAGCAGCAGTTGTGGTTGTAGAGGCCTGGGCCCGCAGTGAAAACAGCAGACATGGACTTTGGAAGTTTGAGCCCGCAGTGAAAGCAGCAGAAGTGGATATCGAGCTTAGAAGTAAGTCCTAGACCTCGAAACGCCCAAACCGTGAACCCTAAATCCATCCGCAGTGAAAGAAGGCATGTTTTTGGAGCTCTGGATCCCTGGCAAAAGTAGCAGCATGGATGGTAAAAGTTGGCAGCAAATTCGAAAGCTTCAAACCCTAAAATCCCGACCAGGTGCCGTAGTTTGTTAGCAGGCCTGAGAACGCTTGCCTGCACACGCCAAGCGTTGCCACTGACACCAGGCTGGGGAACGCTTGCCTGCACACGCCAAGCGCAGCTAGCGCCGCAAGCGCACGCTATTCCACCACCACCACCACCACCACCACCACCACCACCACCACCGATGCCAAAATCGCGCAGCCTCGTCAGCAACAACCTTTCCGCTTTGGAAAGCAGCTGTCAGCAGAGCAGCGTCAAAAGCGTTGACGAATCGAACAACGATGCATATATGTCACATGCTCGAACTAGAAAAAAACGCACTCCTTGTTTGAGATACTCCATGTCGCATAAGAGTGGTGGTGAAACAGAAATATAGCCCACCACACAGACACTGTCAAAGAAGCAGGGCCATAGGTGTGGGGAGAAGGATAACCGAGCTGCACAAAAGTTTACCCCACACGTTAAGATAACTTTGTCGAATGTGACGAAGTCGTCAATGGAATTCATTGCTGGCTCTCGGATGCCTGTGCAACACCCCGGAATGTCGACAGCAGGTTCCATCGTCACAGACAACTTGCCACGAGACACGTGTTTAGAGGTACAATCCGCAAGGACGGCTTCAAACCAAGAGGTGGGCCTTATTTCCATAATACTATCAATGAAAATTCTCGCTGTTGGTTATATATGATATACAGCAAAATAAGCATGCCGTCAGGAATGGTCACAGCACGATCTGTGTTCGTATGGTTGTATATGATAATGGAGTCGTAACAAGATTCGGTAAGATCCGCGGACGTGAGGACGTGAGGAAATCGAAACTGAGACATCCAAACCTGCCATGCTTCCGTCGCAAACGGCCCGGACGATCACGTTCCTACACGCGGTGCTAAGCCCATCTTGTTCTGACATGCACGGGTCGCTACATGGCCGTCCGGCTCAGTGTGGTGCAAAGTACCTGCAGCAAACACTTCACGTCAAGCACTTGACTTGATCTTTGTTTTGGGAATTCTGAGCACAGCACAGGGGTTGTGAATCATGCGTGTGCCTGCTGCTGATGTGGGCACCCGTCAGTGCGAGCCTGAAGTTTGTGCACGCGGCCAGATTCCAATGCTTGCCCGCAGCTGGTCGTCCACCACCCAGGTGAGTGTGTGAGCCGGAATGTCTGCCGGGCTTTGCTTGGGTTGAGGCGCGAGTTGGTGTGGAATGTAGTTTGCACTTGGGCAGTTCTTGAAGCGAAAGTCCAGTTTTGGTGTCCACACAGATTGAGAATCATGTTGCATTTCTTCATAGTTGCCGTGGGCAGGCTCTTTGCATCTTGTTGTTTCGATTGTGGGCGGGGGGGGGGGGGGGGGTAGCAATTTTTCACTCGCAGAGCCTGCAAAGGCCATGATGTGATCGGCTGCTGGAAGAACCATGTCGACTCTTGAGGTGGACACACTTGAAGCACAGACCTCAGGATCTCGAGTGTGTCTCGGCGCACGGCAGGGATCTCACCAATTCAACCCCGACTGCAAGAAATTTCCTCTGTCGCAGGTTCGCTGCAACTAAATCGCAGATGCCCCCGGCCTTTGGGCCGTAACCCATTTTTACACTGCCGGCATCCGCTCGTCATCCATGCCCCTACCCTACCCAATCGGGGGGTCGGGGCGGGACAGTAGACGAAGCTGCAAGGATCTGCAGTACCAAGCAACCAAGGGGTGCATGCAGGTCGGGCGAAGGTTTCTCGTTCGTGCCGGCCAAATCCCATGCTACCTCGTCGCAGAAAACCAGTCTTGTGACAACAGCATTCTTCGACACGTCCTAGCCCACACGATTGCCTAGAATCTAGAATCGTAGTGGGTTGGTCTGCTTGTTCTGTTTAGCTTCTAATAACTAGCGCTTGATGTCCGTAGGTGTAAATGAAAGCTATCTGACGAACTGCCATTTCTGTGCAAAGCCTTCTTCCCCGTAGTCGCAATAATTGCTAGTTTCGTCCGGTTTTCGACGCCTTCGCTGCCAACCTTTTCGAGCGACTCGTACTGAAGTGACAGAATCAAGGCTTGCATTGGACATGTTACCCTGAGCCCAGTGCTGACCATGTGTAGCGAAGCATCGATTCACGTGATTACAGGCGACTTCGAATGCGTGTCACAAGTCGAAAAGGACCCGAAAGCGAAGGCGGGTTTTCTCTTGATTGCCTTCGTCTCAAGCCATTAAGGTGCAAAGCCCGTCTTCCCCCAAGAGGCGATCTTCCATTCAAAGAAGGCATCTCGGTGCAACTTGCAGCCCCGCATTGCAGAATTGCAGCTGGTGCAATGAATCCAGCATACTTGAGCGAGAAGCCTTGGTCCAGGCAGTCGATGCAGATGGAGCATCGCTCTGAGAGCCGCAAACAAGTTCGGTCCCGCCTTGCAATTGGTCAGCACATGCTTTTCAGGCCGAAGCCACCAAAGTCAAAAAGGCCTGACATGGTTTCGCGGAGGCACATGGTTGGGCTTGAATGACCTGCAGCAGCGAATGTCGCATTGTTGAAAAGCAGTGGTTTTGCAGACTTTCTCGTGCTGTTTTCGGTCGAAACCTTGCATGTGAGCCCTTGGTCAGGCATTCGGCCATCATAGTGCAGGAGCCCAAAGTAGTCTTGTGTCTTGTTCCGACCCTTTCTGACGACCGGCAGCACACTGACCCGAGACTCAGGTCAGCCAAAGAAGGTCCCGAGGCTTCCCCTGCACCGGCAAAAAAGACCATTGCACGCCGGTCATCTGCTGTGCAGCTATCCCAGCATCGTACATTCATGTTTCTGTTCTCGACCCTCGGAGCAGTGGCCCCTGGAACAGCCAAGGCTGTCAGACCTTCAGATCAAGTCGGGGCGTGCTGCCCAGATGTGCAATCGCAGCATCCGTTTTCATTGAGGCTAAACCAGGCTATGGTTGTACAATTCTCTGGCGAACTTCAGCCTCGGGTGATTTTCATTGCGATTTCAAGGCAGCGGCGAATGTCACTTAGCACCTGGGGTCCGAGCCTTGTACTTGACGGCAGACTGGAGTCCTGCTTCCCATGGCATTCGGCCCAGCTCTCACAACAACTTCGCCAGGCACGAATCACTCACAAGAAGACGATGGGCTCGGCACTTGATGAAGAATGGGTGAGGGGCCTGTACCTGGTGGTCAGAAGCGTTTTCAGGTTGGACAGTCCAAGTTCACACAGCCCAGTGATGCAGCGGAAGTCCATGAAGCGAAGGCGGGCGAAGTGCCGGCGACCGTTGCATCTGTTTTTCGCGTGTCAGCGTAACCTAGTCGGTCTTGGTTGAAGCGGTGCCAGGGCATCTGTCAGTGCCATCGCCAGCGTGCGGAGAGCATCTTTTTCCGGCTCGGCTGCGGACACGATTTCTCAGGAGGGGGCCAGTGATGCACCTGTGCTCGGCGCTTGCACCAGAGTTACGCCCCCTGGAGGCCCGCATGGCTGTGCGCAGGTCCTCGGCTCGGACGGAGCTCTCTTGTCTCTGGGTCATGGCGTGGCACTTAGGATGTCCCACCACGAGGCGAACGAGGTAGCAGGGCCCTGAGACGCCTGAAAGTCAAAGTGTTGGAGAAGAATATTTCCAGGTTTGCGAGGACGGTGAGACTGGCAGCCGGTAGTTTCGAACGCATTTCTGAGGGTGGTGTCCGCTCTGACCGAGGTGGGAAGTTGTTGGATCTGCTCTGCTGGGCTTTGATATTGTTGCATCTTTACAATGAGAGTCGCTGGCAGCGAAGGTTCAGTGGCAGAGCAGCGCCGATTATCACTGAAGCGAGCTGCACGGGTCTCGACTCGAGTTTCAAGCTAGATTTGTTTGCAGCTCTATGTCGTCCTCCATGCAGCATGCAGGTGCGGCACCCGCCTGTCCCATTGCGTTTTTTTCTTGCAGGAACATTAGAAAGCATATTGTCGGAGAAATCCCTTCTTGCTTTACAAGATGCCGGCCATCTACATTCACCGGGTTTCAACCGAGGATCTTTTCCGTGTCTTTCATCCTCTCGAAGAGTCGGTGCAATCCGGTAGTTTCGGCATTAGAAGAGTTCCGGATAGCCTCCAAGACAAATCAACTGTCAACAGGCTGTGTCTCCTGCACAATGCACGGAGCTGCTGTTGTAATCAGCACACATACATACACGAGCCTGCGCGACTCTGTGCGTGCATGCCTCCTATTGGGATGGTCCTTCGCAGCTAGTAGCTACTCCACGTGTTTGTTATTGTTTTTTTTTGGGGCGGGGCCGGATTGGATGCGGGTGAGCTGAGCTGTACCTTAGTTGCAGGGCCCGCAGAAGCAATTCACAAGATGTCCAGGCAACTACGCCAATGACACCGCAGCCGGAGATCGTGAACCTGGCACCATCGGAGGCCGAGAAACCTGTCTTCCTTGAGGAAGCTTGCTAGAAGCACGCTAGAAGCACCCGTGGTTGTTTCTGGTTTTTTGCATTCTCCGCAGCAGGCGCTTACCGGCGTTCAAGTACGCAAGCCAAGCGACAGGGCCAAGGCCACTGGTCTTTGCCCGCGCCAATTGAACTGGAGCTGAGTGGCTTGTCCTGGTTGGGAGGCTGAGGAGAGAGATCGACAGAAAGCTGCACCGAAAATGTCCGAGGCCACCTTGGAAGGCGTGGTCTCGCAAACAAGAATGTTTGCTTCTGTTGCAGAACGCGAAGCTCCTCCAGAAAACGAGACTCTTCGGGAAGCTCTCAGACCAGGCGCGATGGACGCGTCCTTCGGCGCCGCATGGTGCTTCCTGTTTTGAAGGCGCTCATCCACCTGGCAGACCACGGCGAGGCGCTCCTGCACTTGCCCTTGGCTTTGGGCCCCGTCCGCGCCAGAGCAGGAGCGGGTATGTCGCTTTGGAGAGCTTCTTTATCGTGAAGGAGACAAGCAGAAGACCAATTGGTGAGAGCCTGAGCCATGGGTCCGTCGGGCTGCAGCTGCCTCAGCCGACGTGCGCCCGTCATATGCTCTACCTGTCCTTTAGACGGTCGCAATCCGCGCAAAACCTCAAGTCCCACTCCCGAGCCCCAAGCCCTAAGCCCTCAAACCTGAACCCGCAAACGAGCGACCCAAGTGACCTAGTGAGATGACATGATCCTCAAATCCCCAGTGGGGTCAGATTCGGGGTGTCTAGCTGTCAGGATGGCCATGGTCCTCTCCGGGAGGCTTTCTAACCAGATCCATGCGTGTTCCTGGCACTGTTGAGAATTTGTGGCATGGCCTCTGCTGCGCCGGTGTAGGATGCAGAGTGGCTTAGGGGTCTGATTTGCGTGGATCTCGGCCGGGGTCGATAGACACTGTCCACGCCAAGATTGCCCGTTTACCAGATGCATGGAGAGTATGGAGACCCAAGATAGACACCCCACAGCACAAAGCAGGGCAGGATGCGCGTGGCGGCTTGTTTTTTTGTGTCCTATAGCCCGCAACAGTCTCGATTCCGGGATCTTTGGGTCGAAGCAGCCCCCATCGTGGGGACTGAGGTCACTCGTCTGCAAATCAAAACCGAGGGAAAATGGAAAGAGAAGGTGGAAGATGCAAGAGGCAGTTGCCCTCAACCGGCACCAGGAGATCCGAAGGTTGCAGTGACCCGAGCTAAGCCAGGTTTTTGTCAAGCTGCTCTTTGCGAATTCATTCACAATTATGAAGAAGCTCGTGGCCCTAGCTGCGCTCTTGTTGTCACCTCAACACAGAGGCAGGGTCTATGGAACACCGAACACACCAGTATGCCAGAGTCTTTTGTTGCGGTACATGGGAGTGTCTTCGTAGCTTCAAGCCTTGTCTCGCACACAAAGTTCGAACCCCACAAAAGCCGGACGAGCGCCAGGCCCTTCGGCGAGAAGGGCACGATGCCAGAGCTTTTCGCTGGTGTGGGCCTTGGCTTCAGAGTGGAGCACTGTATGACAGAGGGGAAGGCCATGTTCGGCAAAATTTCACTGCTGCTCCTGCTCCTTCTCTTGCTGCTGCTGCTGCTTCTGCTTGTGTTAACGACGACGACTACTACTACCACCACTGCTGCTATTACTGCTCATACTACTATCGATACTAGCACGGCTGCACCATTTCTAGCTTTGTATGATAGCAAGCGTCCGAAGGATTGTCAAAGAGGAATGTCGCACTCGTAGTGATGACAGCAGAAACACGAACACACGGTGTGGATATCAACAGCAATAGAAGCAGTAGCACTTGTGCACCCCCTGCCAACTACGTTTAAAATGCACATGGGCAGGTAGTAGTCAAGCACTTTTTAGCCAAGTTTTTCGTGTACTTTTCTTCGACAGTCGGAATGCTGATCGTTGGGATGGGCGATTGCCGTATACGTTGGAACAAGCACGTTGAAACAGCGATGTCGCTATGACAATCGCGACCGAGGATCAAACGCTTTTGCATAAAGCCCTCACGAAGACCCCTCAATTTTTACCGATGTCTCAAATTGCATTCCAGGAGCGATCTTCGGAGAGCTTGGCGCTTTGCAGGTCTGGGAGGCTCGGGGCTCTACCCGGTAACTATGTGGATATTGTTGTATCAGTTGAATTAAAAACGGTTGTCATTATTCATGTTATCATTGTTATCCGTACTATCATTGGTATCGTCGCTGTCGTTGTGGTTGGTGCTTTTGTGTTTGTGGTTTTGTGGTTGTGGTTGTTGGTGGTTGTGGTGGTGGTTGCGGTTGCGGTTGCTGTTCTGGTTGTTGTTGTTGTTGTTGTTGTTGTTGTTGTTCGTGCCATAACTACACATCCTGCTTCATGCTCATCAGTATTATTACCATAGAGGATGAGTAATTATGCTCATTCTCACCATGTCAAGATTGCACGGTCAGTCTATTTCAGCTGCCGACAATGCTTCTGTCACGATTTTTTGTAGTGTTGCTGATATCTCCACTGGAATTGCTATCCCTATAATGATTATGATTGTCATTGTAGCATCTTCGTGTCCTCTTTGGGGGCCAAAGATTCCGCTCCTCCAAGCTCTGGGTTCAGACATGCTGTCGGGGTGACTTACAAGCCAGTACAAGGTTCTCGGCAGGAGCAGAATATGTGCTACTGGAAGCACCTTCCCTGCATCCGGTCCAACCATTGGCTCTTGCCAGGGCCGTCATTCGACCGTGACAGCCCTGGAGGACTGCAAGGCCTGAGTCAGGTCCAACCGCCACGAGACGGATTGACTCGTGTGTTTGTGTGCAGGTGCTTGTCATTCAGACGGACAAGATATGGGAGGCTCCAGCTGTGGTTGGAGCAGGCGCATCAAGTTCCAGCTCGAAGCACTGGTGAAAGGCCGTGCGTGGTGCTGCTGATGACGTACAGCGTGGAGCCCTTGGATGCGGGTGCAATCACTCGCACGAAGTAGATCACTGGAAGTTCTTGCCTAGGCATAGAAAGTGAATGTGAATGCTGGCGAGCCTTCATGCTGTCGGACATAGCGTCGCTGCCTTGGATCGCGTGAGGTTTAGGAGTTGCATTGAGCAATTTGAACGACCAGGTCACGTTGTCCTGCAGAGATTGCGTGCAGGGCTCGGAGGCTTAATGTCAGAGTGTCTGTGCCCGTGGATGAAATCTCTTCAGGTACCATTTCAGAGAAGCGGCTTCGCTGCGAAAGCTAGTGCCTGGGGAGGAGCTGTTAAGACTTAAGACTTCGTAGACATACACGACTGTGCTTTGTGGCTAATTGCAGGAGCAGGAACTTGGAATTCGCAATCAGCAGAGGCTCGCGACAAAGCCATAGGTACTGCAGACCGGAGTGTTGCCACTCACGACCAGGCAGCTGTGGGCAGCAGCAGTCATTGAGAGCGGCAAGGCCTGTGTCAAAGAGACGGGAGAGGCCGGGCCTGGCGCAGCTTTGCCGAAGCCTTTCTTATATGGACGCCGTCGAGAGTTGTGTGCTTTGTTGCTGCTAAACTCAGCATCTGCTCGTGCCTCTGGCACTTTGAGTTCAGGTATTGCGGGCGAAAGAAACCTGCAACGTTGCCGCAATGCTCGGAATCCAGAGCTCAGAAACACTTCTGTCGAAGCCTCAGCTGGCCTGGGTGTGGGTCGCTTGCATTCTTTGAGGCCGTCGGGGTTTAGCCTCCCTACAAAACGTCGGTTCATAGGAGCCCGTGCTTCTCAACATAGGATTCGGCAGCTTGGACGTCGCAATTTGCTGAGCGTCGTGGTGCGACTTCTCGACTTTTCAGCTCCAAGTCCGCCAGCGGGTTCGAATCTGGAACAGTTAGCCTAGTTATTTCGGCTTGCCCTCAGGAAAGATGCAGCCGGTTAGAACTTCGCATCTTCCATCGCCAGGCCGGAAGGCGGCAAACCCTGCAACATCGCTGTCCTGGACAGGCGCAGACCCCAAGCCAATCTTGAAACTTTTCGAGGCTTTTAATCTTGATTTGATGTATAAGTTCAAGGAGCAAAGTTTTCAAGACCATCTATACTGCTAGCCGGGTGCACCCATGCGAATATTTATGTCCCGCCTTGGAAGTGTCAAGTCAATGTGCTAGGCATCCGTTCAGTGGTGTTGGCCTTATAATGGTTTTTAACGTTCATCTTCTCATACAGGGGAGGGGATAAGGGTTTCGAGCTTCGAGGTTTCGACAAGGCTTGGGTTTAGTAAGAGGCCGGGGTGCGGTGACCGCACCCTCGGAACGCTAATTGCTTTTTGGCAGGAAAGACTTCTGGAAGATCGTCCATGAGTACCCCCAAGCACGCGAGGCTCTGCTGCTCTCTGCATTTCAGTGCCTGGCTGCCTTTGGTGATGCGAGGTGTACACCAAGTGGGCGCTCTCGTCGAGCTCCCCAGCTGTCTCGACTGCTGTTTTAGCTCTCATGTACTGATTGTGGGATTGTGGGAGTTGCTTACGGCATTGTAAGCGGCTGCATGGTATGCGACCTGAGGCAGCTTCCGTCAGCGACCGTGGACATCTCTTGCGTTCCGTGCGCCTGGCGGTGCCTTTGTTCACACCAATCCAGCAGCGGGTTTTGCACTGCAGTCATGCAGGATTCTGCAGTTCTTGGAGGGCTCTCAGGTCTTCATCCGTGCACTGGCAGGCCTCCGGCATTTGTTGCATGGATGTGGGTGGAGTGCACCTTCTTTTGTGGTCGCCATCTCGTGGCATCTCTGGCCAGGAAGCATTCGACAGCGAGTGAATGCCTCAGAAGTCAGAAGCGCAAGACGCGATGGAATTTTGTGGCAGGGCTGGATTCAGAAAGTCATCTTTTTCTGAGGTCGTTCCTCCTGGCATGGATGCCATCACAGCCAAGGCTGGGCATCGCAAAATCTCTTTGAAAGGAGGTGCTGACCCTGATGTGAAAGGACTTGTTCGAAACGCCTGCCCCTCAACTTCGTGCATGCGCAAGCCGCACATCATCATAATCTCTGTCACACAGCGCAGTCTTACCGTCGCAGAGGACTCGGATTTGCGACTCCAGGTTGGTTTTCCTGCAGCAGGGTTTGGCTGACGTCGTGTTCAAAGGCCACAAGGTGCCTTGACTGAAGGACGTCGTCGCTTTGAGCGACTGTGAGATGCATCGTGT